ATATGAAAGACAAATAAGGCATAATCATTGCTGATTGTGGTGTTTACGAAAACAGGAAGGAGTCGTCAGAATTTATTGAAACTTTACATCTGAAGTGTCTATATTACTCTAATTTTAAGAAAGTAATCGGTTTTTTGTAACGGGTACCCATTAAAAAAACATCGAGTTTTTGCACATGATTATTTAAAAATGAAATATGCCATATCATTGTTGCTAAGTGTTCAGAAAAATAGTCTTAATAGTCAAAATTCGTCTAAACTTTACTTCCTAAGTGAATACATATGGTAATTTGAAAAATTAAGTCGGTTTTCCTTACATGTTAACCTTTAGAAAAAAAAATTCTTTTGATTTCATTTAAAATAAAGCATAATCACTGTTAAGTAAGTAAGTAATAATAGCTGTTATATGGTAATAACATATAATATGTTAATAAAAACCGAACTAGTTGTTATAATCACTCAGTTTCAGAGTCCTCAGAAGAGGAGGAAGTGATCACTGATTCAAATGATTCCATGCTTTTGTCTGCTTCGTCACTTTCAACAATGTATTTATTAAAGCTGAGATCAGAACCCTTTAAATATTTGTTTCTCTGTTTTATATTTCTTTTTGTAAACTGGTGTCATTGCTCTATATATATATATATATATATATATGTATATATATATATATGTAAATCTTCGTATACCTTTGTTTTTGGCTCCCATACCGTGATGCATATTTAAGTATTTTAATTAGCTGATAATTTTTTTCATTTCAAAGCACCCTGTACCTCTTAACTTTTGTTTTGGCACTTTTAGCTTTAATTCAACACCTTATTTTTGAAGAGCGAACCAAAAATTTAGATCTTAGGGCATTCAGAAAAAGTATTGTAAATATAGATCAGCTAAAATAATACCAAAAAAAGGCATTTAGTCACTTTTTCAAAATTGAAAATTTTCAAATATTGGAAAAAGTTGGAAGAGATTTCGATTGTTTCTGTTAGTAGAAGGTCCAAACTACCATAACCAAAAAAAAAATTTCACGAACTTTCAAGATGTTTTTTTTTTTTTGTCTCCAAAGGTTGCCAATTTTCGGATTTTGGTATGTTTAATCATATATTTATTTATTAATAAAAAACAAATATTTGTATAAATTTTTTTTCCATGAACCATACATTTTTTGGTTTGTCGCATATATCTTTATCAAAGTGCAAAAGTTGAGCAGAAATTTTTAACTGCGACCACTTTTATGTGCGAATCGCCGAAATGAAATGGTATGTAGAAAATAGGTGTACTTTGAGGGGGTGTGTGAGGCTGAAAGTTGTTTTTATCACAAAATAACTTATGAACTTCTCTTAGTTGGAGATTTAGCTGTAACTTGACATCAAAACATCTAAGTTTCAAGACAGTCGATTTTTGTATTTTTGTCCACCTTCGCGGCACTGTGCGCCACCAACAAAAACTGTACAAAAATACATATTTACATGAAAAAAAACGGTGAACAAATGAAATAAATAACAAACAGCAAGGAGACTGAGCAACGACGACAAGGACGACTCGCAATTGGTGGAAAATAGAGATCACATTGGCGGCGGGGTCGCAAAAAATAACAGAAAAAATCATTGAAAACCAACGAAGCATTGGCATAGCAAGAAGGGAAAGCAAAATAAAACGAGAATTACACAACTCCAATTGCAAGCAGCATCAATTTTTTTACTGAATTTCATCAAAAAAGTACAATCAGTCAAATGAAATAAACGGAAAAATGGTAATAGATGCCAACAGCGGCTCACCAGACATTGCAGTAAGCAACATTGCTCATAAAAATAATATGGCTACAAAACGAATTCATCAATGGTCCTCTGACAATTGAAATCAATCATTCCGTTGTGTCTTCTCCATTTTCGAATGTATGTATGTATGTGGGTATATACTTTCGAGAACTATGTATATGAGAGCAGCATGATCCTTTGATTAGCTAAAATAAACATTTAAGGCGCTACTATTTGCTACATTCTACGAAAGTTTTATATTTAATTGATCTTATTCAATTATTATAAATCCGCTAATGAAATCGCGGCCTTTTCATAGCCAAGATTATATAGTACGTATGTACGCAGCCTCGAATGGAATTTATTAAGGGTGGTGTATTTTTAATACATATGTATTTAGGACTGTGAGTCAAGTTCGAACTTTCAAGCACAATGGAATTATGTAGGTTAGGTTATGTTGGCATGCTTGGAGAGCATTCCCTGCGCGTGTAGGCCCGTTGTTATGGCACATAATGATACCGATCTCTTTCGATGTTTAGTAGCTCACTTGGATACAAATCAATCAATGCTCAGTATTCTGAGCTGCCACTGTGATGTTTTTACATTTTTTTTGAGACGTCATATTTTCGAAAACTATTTTTTTTTTATCAAAAAATTTATATGTGAAAAATTTTTTAAGAAAAAAAAATTTAAAAATATTTCTTTTCATAGAGAATTTTGATGTGTGTATGTGTTATTTTTTTTAAAATTTTTTCCTCGCTCCGTTCTCGAGATATTTGCAAAACTATTAAATCGATTTGTTTTTGTTTTTGTGCTGTAAAAATGAAATGAAAATGTATTAATCAAGCTCAAATTTCATATTTATTTATTATTTATGTTTATGCATCAACCCTAAAAATTTGAAACAAATCAAACACATGAAGTGTGAACCCCCCCGCCCCCTCCGTTTTGGTATGGAACGCCCCATATATATTGGTAGCATATGCAGAAATATTTTTGAAAAAAATTTCGCCCTTAGATGGCGCCGGGGTCGAAATATTTTGAAATCCCTATTATATTTGATTACAAATAGTTATTGTTTGGAGCTTAAACGTTGTATACATATTTTGCCGAGCTTCTCCTCCAATTCATGTTGCCATGTTGTTGGCGGTTTGCCATTATCTGCCGAGAGGCGACCGCTTTTGAAAAAAAAAATCTTTCTTGCTGTTGCTGGGACCAGAAATTGAACCATGGACCTCTCGAGTGGCAGTAGCACTCGGTAAGTGCAAAACTCAAATCCGAAAAAGGTCAGAAAAAATGCAATAAAGTATTAAAAATAGTTAAAATAAGACGAAACGTGAAATTTTCATTGATTTTTATTTCTTTTTAGTTTTAGTCTAAAAAAACGTATAATTTTGCTTCGTTTTTTCTAAAGCAAATCTATTTTTAGTGCTAATAGTTTTATTGTAATTTTTTGTTTGGACTTCATACCAACATAAGCATTTTCACTGAATAAGTACCGGTTTATCCGTTATTATTATTTTTTTTTTTCAAAATTGGGAACCGATTTTTTAATTGCAATTTTTTGAATAACTCGAAAACCGGTTCTGGAAAAGGGCGAATGATCGAATAACCTAGTAACGCTCACCTCCCATATAACGGTATTTTCGAAAAATGCAAAAACTGCGATATTTCCGAATATAGAACACTGGATCCAAATTGTTGGAAGTCGGAGAGCGACATAGAATTTTGGCATAAAATAAGACAATTATGAAATTTTTGGAAAATGGGCGTGCCACCGCCTACTTATAAATCAAAACTGTTTTTCAGTAGCCGCTTAATCAACCTCCACTAAACTCAGTAGGAACATTGCTGAGAGTCCCACTAAGAAACTTGTTGAAAATTTTTGAAATCGCACAATAACCACGCCCATCTCCCATACAACGATAATTTACAGAAATACGAAAACTGCGATAAATCAGTAACTACGAAAGCTACTTAATACGAAATCGATGTTTGCAGAAATCTTTTACTAGTAAATCAGTTTATTGCAAAATTTTGGAAAATACTTCGTTACTTGTTCAAATTAATTTTAAAAATCATATAAATGCAAAAGGCAAGTTTTGTGATAAAAGAAAATACGAAACTAAAAACCATACATAAAAACTTTAAATGTCCAACCACGCGACAGATGAAAATAAAACGAATTTTTCCACAGTTTAATGACATACCGACGCTGCTTTTATCATAACTTAAACAAGATTCAAATTAATTTTCAAATTTGTTTCACTTTCAAAAGCACTACCGGTATACTAGCTTCAAACTTCAAAACGAGATAAAAATCTTTAATAGATTTCCGCTTCATTACACTCACTACTACTACCTTTTTGAATTCTGCGGCAAACATAAAAAAGCTATCAAGTGGTACCTAGGTGGCAAAGTGAAGAGGAAATTCATTGAAGATAATAATCGCCGTCAATAACTAGGAAACACTATGAAAGTGTGCTGGCGAAAATAAGGAAAGGCACAAAGGCTAAAAATTGCATAAAAGGAGCAGCATCAATGAATAGTTATCCTGGGCATTGAATTAGGTGAAAGCGGCTTTGTGAGGCCGCAACAGTCGAGCCGACCAATCTAAGGTGGATGATTTAATTAAAAACACACATACTTTTCCTTGTATATTTGTATGTGCTTTTACTTGATTACATATGTATCTATGTTTGTAAACTCCTGCACCAGTACTGCTTGCATGGAGATGCCAATTAAAGTTCACTTAGTTGGGATATTTTTTTTTTTTTAATTAGGCAATTTAATTATTATATTTTTAAGTACATACATACATTACGTTGTCCACTAAAATTTTCGAAAATTTCTGACCTGGCGTGAAGAACTCTTTCGGCATGACCCTTTAATCTAAGAACATTCCACGACAATCGTAGAAACATGTAGGGTGACCAGACGTCCTGATTTCGGGTCGATTAAAGTGTCCTGAATGGATCGAAATCGTTGAGGCGTTGAAATTAGAGAACATGTCAAGTTTCAGTGAAATCGATAACATTAACTATTCTTTCCGCCTGACTTCATATAAATAGTCGATACACTGTACTCAAAATTTGTGGCTGAATTATTGAGGGTTGCTCTAGCTGAATTATTGAGCTCCTGCTCAACTCCGCGCTGTCAAAGTACCGAGTAGCATCATCATGGCCGAACAGATGTGAATAGGTATGTCTAAACAATCTCTGGCTGATATCCACCACTGTGATGAAAGAACCTATCCGAGGTGAGAGCTCGGTTGGCCGAAATTATCATTGCTCTGAGCCAAATCGTGATAGAGAAGCTCGAACATAAACTCTCGAGTTGAGTCATTTTTTGATTTTATTCTAAAAGAAGAGTAACGTATTTGCAGTAGTAATAATGATCATACGTTTGCATCTGCTGCCTGGCACTAAATTCTTTTTCTTCTTCTCTGATATGCTATATTTCCGACTGGATCATTCTTGATTTTTAATACAAAAAGTTTACTCAATTTTTTCTTGACGAAGATCGTCCAATCCCTTTTCTACTATTTTAGACCTTAGTAGTCTATTTGGCTTGTACATAAAAACAAGGTTCTTGGGGAGCGATTGAGTCTCCCTTTAGAGCGGATCAGTAGAATCTACCTCATTTTTAATAATTGGAGAACAAAGATTACGTGGTTAGTGCCTTCTCTGATATCGAGGGTGCCTTCAATGTACCCTAATGTACTACTCGAGACTATAGTAAAAGCTCTCGGACAGCAAAAGCGCGGAATCGAAATCAACTTAGGTTTGAGCACCGCATGTTCTCCGACAGAGAAAATCAAGTGCTTACACTTATATCATCTATATTATCGAACTTCTGTCATACCCCCTCAATAAGTATACCACATTGCATCCACAGTATCCCTCCATCTCTCACACGAATTCTTTTTTTTTTTTTAACAATAGTAAGTACAATAAGCACCCATTGCCAGCCTCTTGCCGCAAATCTAATCTAAACTCACCTGGCATAATAAGCAGCTGCGGCCATCGCCTGCGCCGTTTCAAATCGCACCTCGATCTTGCCGTGCCGGTATGGCAGTTTGGCGGTGCCGTCCTCCTCGAGCACCAAAACATCCTGAAATTCGCCGGTGTCCTCCTCGAAAACGATGGGCAAAGCAGTGGGTCGTTGGTGATGGCTAGTAGTGGGCAAATTGTTGTTGTTGGCATTGCCGCCATTGTGTTTGGCATTATTATTATTAGTTGCATGCGCACTTTTGTTGATGCCACTGTTGCTGTGCATTGCCGTTAATGAGGTGGCATGCGACGATTTCAGTAAGCCGGCTTGTAACAACAATTCCACAGAGCTATCAGAAACATCAATGGCGGAGATGCCGCAAGTGGTGGGCTGGGAATTGGAAGTTGTAGAAGAGGACAACACCTGTGTGGATACTGTGGCTGCTGTGGCATGTATCGTTGCCTTTGTGGTGGTTAATGCCACTGCGGGTTGGGTTATCATAATTTCAGCAGCCTTCTGAGTCTTTTGTTGTTGCTGTTGCTGTGCACCGTGCTGGTCGGCATGCGCGCCCAAAGGATGCTCGCGCACTTGTATGTGTTCTGAACGCGATTGCTGCTGTTGTTGTTGTTGCTGCTGTCGTTCGCGCAACTGCTGATAGAGGTAAGGACGTTGCTCGCCATCCGCTTTCGTGCGCTGTTGCGGGTTATATTGATGCTGCTGTTGTTGTTGTTGTTGTTGCTGTTGGATTACTTGCTTTGTAGCCGCAGCTGGTGGCGCCACATATGCTGGCGGTTGCATAGGCAGCAGCTTGCTATTGAGCTTACCACCCAACTGACCAGCATCCAGTTTGCTGTGACTATTATTCGTTGTAGCTGTTGCTGCTCGCTTATTACCACCCGCTTTTGCGGCAAGCAAACGCTTTTTCAGCTGTCTCGAGGGTGGCAATGGGGGTGCTACATCTTCTGCACCAGATTTTCTAAGATTTTTAGGTGGCGGCAACGGTGGCCGCTCCTTAATTGTCTCATAGACGTGATTGAGTGGCGCAGGCGGTGGTGGTGGGTTCGCAGCTGCATCGCTCTGCAGCAGAAAATGTTGCCTGCTATCCACTGGTTCTACGTAGGCATCGGAGAATTGGAAATGTTGCTGATAGGATAAGTAGCCTCCCAACTCTGTGGAATGTATGGATTCCTGCTTGACACCAGGTTGGTTGGTTGGTGGCGCAGGCGGCGGCGGTGGTGGTGGCGGCAACTTCAAAAAGTGCACTGGCTTTTGTGCAACATGCTGCTGGTTGGGCCCACCATGTATGGGTACAAAAGTTGCCGCCGACGACAATCTGTCAACATCTTCGTGTGAGGAGTCAAATGGCTGCTGCTGTTGATTGGCAGCAGAGCGAAAGTGGCGTGGCCATTGCTGTGTACGCTGCTGAGATTGATTTTGTTGCGGCTGACTACGTTGTTGCTGACTCGAAGAGCTGGCGAAATTGAGCTCTACTTCCTGGCCCACCTGACGCGCTGCTAGGAAACGCTGCTGCTGCAGTTGCTGCTTTTGTTGCCAGTTCGGCCGCTGCTGTTGCCTCTCCTGTGTACCGTCCACTTGAAATGTCGTCTGACTTAGCAGATGATGCTCGTAAATGTCGTTCAATAGATTTGTAGCGGTTTTCGATATTTGATTAAAATTTGTTTGTTGTTGCTGTTGCTGCTGCAATGGTATACGACTCGTCTTAGCTGGCGACAAATCGCGTTGTAGCTCTATATTCGCATTGATTTGTTGCATTGCCGGCCTGCCATGTCCAGCAGCATGGCCACCAGCCACCAATGATTGCGGCATTCCCACCACCGCAATTGATTGCTTCGCTGCAGTGTCGCCAGTATTTGTATGCGATTGCTGTTGCTGATACTGTGCCGGTGCCTGTGCTTGTTGCCGCAGTATTTGTTGCTGCTGTTGTTGTTGTTCATTCCAATTGCGACTCGTTTTGGCTAATTTTTGTGCGGCACTCGAATTCTCATTGCCGATTGATTGTTGTTGCTGCTGCTGGTAGTGTTGTTGTTGCAGTTGTTGTTGTAATTTACGCTGTTGCTGATACTGATGATAGCTTTGGTGTTGTTGATGACCACCACCAGCTGTTGTTGTGGCGGCTCCATGTCCTTTTGGCTGGCCATAACGTCTTGCGGCTGAACTTGCGCCAACATTGTGGCGTGGTCGATGCACAGATGCCTGGAAAAAAGAGAATTCTTGAATGAGTTTTATCTTTGGTGAATGAGACTAAATGGATTTAACAAAATAGATTTTTTCATTCACAGCTTGAAACTTATTTTGCACATCACCTAAAGGAGGTGAAGCTCTTCTCTGGGATTTATACTGGATATAGGTATTTCGGCGCCAAGTCGAGACTGTGAACTGCTGAAAAAGAATACCGTTTAGTCATAGAAGTAAGTTTCCTGCTAAGTTAATAGGCTGTTAGGTACATAAAATAGAGTTTACCCGCGAAGACGCAAGTGAATATCTTCTCAGATAGCCAAGCAGCCAATAAGTTGCTCTCTTCTACCGCTGTTAGATCTCAACGAGTGGATGACTTTAGGAAACAGCTGGCCTTATGAAAAAATATGAAATGATCCTAATATGGGTCCTGGGACATAGGAACATTTAAGGAACCGAGGCAGCGGACGAATGTGCCCCACGCGGGGGCTTGGAGGCCTCGCTCTGGGAGGTCAAAGCAAATATTATCCGGCCAAGCCTGAATGGAATCGTACAGGATCGTATAGAATTACCCGGAAGTTTTTGGTGTCCTACATCACACTTCAAACCCGAGTTCTATTAGGAATGAAGAAAGAAAATACCTAAAAACTTACTGCTGAGTGCGCAGGGCACTGGACCATTGGGGCACATGCCGAAAGGATTGGATTTCTCTACAATAGATTCTGTCGCAGTTGCAACGACCTTGGCTCAAAAGAGACAGTCCAACACTTCCTATGCGAGTGTCCAGATCTCACAAATATGAGTGTAAAGATATCTACTCGACAATTCCTTTAGAAAATTTCAGACTGCAGCTGCCTTTCTCTGTATGAGGTATTGAAATTCATTAGTTTTTGGGATTACCACTGGATTTAAAAGTCCTCTCGATATCAATGAATGCATCACCATCACCACGTAGTCGACTAGCTCAAGCAATCTCTCAAACGTATTTAACAGAAACAATGAGAAATTTATCTGAAATCGCCGGGGGTATTACTTGCCATGGTTATAAAATTAACCCCGACCAGAACCTAATGTTTTGGGACACAGTCCTGCCTAAGCAGCCCATGTGGATAGGGGCAAGCCAACGTCGGGACACCTTCGCAAACTTTTGTAGCTGGAAAGATATGACGCCATTGAGGACACAAAGACTTGAAGGGTTTCAATGAGTTCATAAGCTCAAAACAGGCGGTGCTCGCTTATAAACTTAAAGTCCTCAGCGTCTTCAAATGCTGGATTTGTGTTCTCTTTTGGCATTCAGTTGACTATCTAACCTTGAGGCTACCGGAGCAGGTGGAACGATTGTGTCCTCTGGTATTTCCACATATACCAATGAACATATGCACATATATATACTTAAATATAAGTAAATATGTAGGCACAAATATATGTTTGTATGCACATGTGCAGCACGCCTACCTATCGACCTCCTCTCGAACACGAAAACATTGCCCATCCGCAAGAATTCATGCGTGTAAACATATTAAATTTTATTATGTAATTCACAGTTGTCCAACTGCTACCGAAATGAAACACACACCAGCAGTTGAGCTATAATTTGGATTTTACGGCATCACGTCTCATCAATTAATAAAATGGGAACGAACACGAAAAGCGTCTTCGAGTAGACACAATTAAGCCATTAAAATCGTCAAACTAGATGCACCGGCATGGGATGGACATACGTATCTACGAATGTAATTGAAGCGGAGACAAGTTGTAAAAAAAAAGCAAATGATCGAGCGGAAATCAAGCAACGGAATGAAAATAATTGCAGTGGAAGAATGCAGCACGCACAAGAAGACAAACAAATATGAAAGTGATACGACTACACAAACACAATTTCGGCAGGGAGCGGGGGGGGGGGCCGACAAGTGTGGTTGGGGAATTTGGATTTTATTACAAGTGCGGCATTTGGCTGGTCGCATGCCGCACGCCACATACCGTTTGCCACTTACCACATTGACATCGTAAAATTTACTACCAAAATAACATACCAGAAAAAAATTATCACCACCAGCAATAGCAACAACACGAGTTAGAACAATTGTCGCTATGAGAAGGAAGAATTCCATCAAAACAACACTGACGGCCCAACTGACGCACATGGAAGAGAGCAAACCACGAAAAATGCACGTGTAGGAGGAAAGCGAGCTGCTCGTAGGAAGGAAATGCGCAACGAATTGTCATGATCGTACATGAGTACATAATTAAATATATGTATATGTATGAATGTGGATATGAGTGACTGAATATTTGTAGAGCTGCGGCGTAAGTGTGAGACATGTGGTTGCATGCCACAAAGAGTTGTAAAGTTGAGAAGTCATTGAATGAGTTTAGGAATTCGGTTGCAGGAATTTTGCGATTTGATTTTTAACATATTTTTTGAATTACGCAAGCAAGTAGAGATGTATTACGCTATCTATGAGGCGCCTAAATGTAGTTGTAATGCCATACGAAATATGGTACACTCTTCTGTTTTCAGAAACATTTACGAACAAACTTTTTTGTTAAAATTTACCACTCCTTAACTTCTAACAACATCGGTCTTTTTGAGCTTTATTAAAAAAAAATAATCATTGAAAATGGTAGTGATCGGGTTAAAATGCAATAAAAGAATATTGAGCGTAGAATTTTATTGCAAGTCATCTCGAAATCAAAAATTCCGCAGGAAGATGATTACGTTAAGTGCTAAGAGGGTAGTTATTGGTTACAAAAAAAAATAATTGTGGCAAAACCGCAGGCTCCTATTTTCGCTTTTCAGTTGGCGCTCTCAAAAACAAGAATTTTGATGCAAAATATTTTTTGCAACTTTTTTTTTTTAATAAACAACGAATAAATTAAAATTTTCTTTTTCTCTTTTTTTTTAAGTTGATTTTTAAGATAAAGGGAGGGAGACGATAAAGGAACAGCGTTTTTTCATTCGAAGCAAATGGTTTAATTTAAAGTATCGAATCATCAAATCGCATACGTATGTATGTATGTTATTTAGGCCAAAAGGAAAATATTAAAAAAAAAATCCGCTGAGGTATGTACGTACCTACGTAAATAAACTTTTTACTTACAAATACGGGAGCCTCGTTTGCCGAAGAGTCGCCATCACTGCACCTGAAAAATTAGAAGAAATAAGCATCAATAAAACTAAAAGCTTATACATAGGAAACATTTAAAGAGAAACGTTTAAGCATAGAAAGGAAACAGTGAACGAAAGTGGGTTAAAAAAAAAAA